GGTCCCAATTTTGTCGTGATGACCCAAGGCTGGAAATACAAGTCTAGGTTTTACGTTTGAATGGAGGACATTTAAGTGTTAGCCTTGTGTATGAGATAGTCCTCGCTTCTTATCGCAATATTCCACCAATAGAGATATACTGTCAGTGTCACTTTCCGAGACAGTTGGATTGACTGACTTTGATGGGTTAAAATTAGGTAGTTTCCACCAAGTCCCTTCAATTACATCTGAAGGTACTTCACTCACTCTCTCTCCTTAAACCCTATCTTCAAGTCTACTAAGTCAACTATTGCTTATGGAACATATGACAAGTCGGCATGAGACAATATGATTCCAAAGTGCCAATCCTTTGCAAACAGTACACCACAACTGGCACGGCAGATCTTCTGACTAAGAGAAGCATCGCATGACCGACGTGTGTAAATGGCTCTTCGTAAATGATAAAAGGTGCTCCAACTAGTTGAACAAATAGTTTCGCAGCGCCTTTAAAAGCATCCACTTCCCTATGGCGCATCAAATGAAGAAGTGAGTGACAGAAGATATTATTTGCATTCATTGATGTTGATGAAGTTGTTAATCTTGATGCTCTGATGCCTACATTACCACATAGATTTCATTTTCATTTAAATAAATGACATATTTTGACTGCACTCGGCTGCAACCATTGAGGTTATCCCCCACAGTCAGTTCTCTCTATTAACCTCTACTAAGTCGCGGGAACAACTCATTTCTGTCAAAAAGGAAATGCACTTATCCTCGCAAATGCTATATACATTCCAAGTCCTTTTTGTATGCAGATTAAGCGAAAAAACTCCAAAATAAATGCCGTAGAGTGCAAACGCTGTTTCAGGAGAGGGATATTAGAGCGTCAAAGTATTTTTTTAAGGCTACCAAAACAGGTTTACCTGTTCTATGGCGTGCCTTGAAGTCATTATGGTCATACATGTCCTTCACATTCCGCAATTGGATCCCCAATTTTAATGCCAGCATCCCAAGATAGACGTCTTCAGGTGCGTAATTATACCTTGTGTAGGCGGAGCCAATGGCCAAGTCATCCACAATATCAGCTCCAAATAACTGACCAAATCCACGGGGGTACGGGGCCATAATATCCCAAGGGAATTCGCGGTACGAAAGGAACCTCTTTCCGTTGGGTTTTCTATACGCTGAGTCTCTTCTTCCAATGAGACCAAAAATTGATGTCCGCTTTACGTCTGGCTGCAAAGTCTTTAGAAATGCTTCCAAGTAAGTGAAATTTACTTTGTGGTCGTCATCCAGGACCAAAAACACATCTCCATTTCGTTGACCACAAAAGGCAGAGAGCCATCGCAAATTTGTGACTGTTTTCCATGTGAGATTGAAATAGGTGTCCTCGTAGTCGCCTAGAAGAATGTCATCATGATGCGCGATTTCATGTAGCACATATTCCATTGTTTGCGATATCTTTCCATCAAAGTAGTCGGCTAGCTCTCCACTTCGACCTCCGAGAGCAATTGGATGGCCCTCACGAGTAAAGACTCGTCCACCATGATGCCTGGGAAGACCCATGCTGAATACCACACCGATTTTCCACTTTGGATGTTGAGCTTTCTGTTCATGTACAAATTCTCGAAAAGCCGCACGCATGTCCCAGGCATGAACCGCGCTTTTTACTACAATTACGAGGTCGTGCTGGGAGTTCCGGGTGCAAACGGAATTACTGGTTCTCAAAATTTTCAGCGGAAAATTGTACTCGGGTAGCTAAAAGGGTAACAAAATTGGATCAGAGCGTGGATTTTGTCAACAACTAAGTGCAACAGTCGCATGTTAAATGACTAGCAGTTAGAAGTGAAAGTCAGTCAAACACTCAACTCCACCTCCTGTGCCATCTCGGCAGCCAACAGTTAAACGACTTCTGACTGGCAGCATTAAGAGTGTTGTGCACCATTCCAAGCAATCAATTTCGATAGAATACATGAGGCCATCTGGTCTATTTTGACATAAAGGATACATATTTAGCTGAAAAAATTTCAGGATTTTTTGGGAGGGGTCGGGAAAACATACTTGTGCATGTTAACTTGTTCAATCTTCCATTTTCTCGATTTTGTATGGCTTACTAAGCAACTAGTTAATGCCATTACGGCTTTCTTAATGCTCTCTTGTTATCACAAAGTTAATACTCAACTTTTGGATAAAAAGGGATGGTACATTTAAGTGGGTAAAAGTATGTCATGCCGTCTTTCAGTCGTGCATGTTCAAAGACATTTGATGGTAAACTCACTACTGAAACAGGCCTGCCGGCTTTGATGGCTGCAACAAGTTCTTTTAAAGGAACATCTTGTGGATAAGTTTGATAGATGTTGGGATACTTTACTCGCCTCCAAAATCGTCGAGGCAACTTGCTCAGATCTTCGAAAGTCACCTTTCTTTGTGGCCCTGACATTCTGAATAGGTCGGTCAATGGATACCTTTTTGACAACTTTTTGGAGGAGAAGCGCGGGCTTAAGGTGACACAAAGAGTTATGTTATAGACACTTTCCTGCGCACTCTCTTGAGGATCCCATGGAGGCCACCTGCACTGCTGGCTGGACATGTTGGGCTTCCGATCTCCAAACTCATTCACCCGGGCCGAACCTGGTTTATTGCGACTTGTTTTGAAGCTTATCAGGGCAATGGTCACAATGATCACCCAAATGCCAAAGCCTATTCGTCTGTGCCACCTCATTTAAGCTGTTACTGCCATTGAATGAGACCAACTTGATCTTATTTGTTGCAACCTTACCACGTGGACAAGCACGGCTATGCGGGCGTTGGTAATGTGTTCTCAAAGGTGATTTAATTTTACAAAATAATTCAACATTTTGCACCTTCATTAAAAATACTTTCGTGATGTCTTTTGTTGAGGCTGCTGTCTCCCCATTCCTTTATGATGTAAATATTGGTGTTCAACTAAGGCTTGTTGAATCGCTCAGTTATGCTAATGCCACCTCGAAGGCGAAGTTGCATTCCATAGCCTTGGATCTACATCAGCGATTACTCATTATATTACCATGCATATGGTTGATGGTGGAGATGCTTGTAGGAGGTTGAAGTTCATGAATCACTCGATGGCAATTGATGGAGCTAAATGCAACCAATTCCTAAAGAATAAATGACCTGTGAAGTCGGTTCGACTTCGAGGGCATGGTGATGTGAGTTTAATGCTAAGGACATTCCCTAATAGAAACGCTTGGCCAAAGAAGGGGATCGTTGATTTTACTTACCAGCATTTTTTAGCAATACGATTTCGGCGTGTAGGAAACGCAATTAGTTCTGACTGTAATGTCTGCATGGGTTATAGCCTTGCTGGACCAGCATGACGCTTAATAAAATGATTACCATTGTGAGTTGCGAGTAGCTTATTCACAAAGATGGTAGGAGGAAGTCAAAGTCACTTAAGTACTTAACTGATTTATCACAAAGTAGGGTGGGTAGTCCAGCCATGAATGCGTCGTTAATCCCTCAAGCGCTTTGTATCTCAGTACGATCTCCCTTTCGGAGTCATGACAAGGGGGTTTATGAACGGTTCACGTTGAGGGTGAGTGAATCTACGCGATAGCGTCAAATCACTTGAATACTTCCATTCATAGGATCAAATGCGAACAATTGGATTGACAGCACTAAATGGTTAAAGAAATGTAAAAAGTAACTCTTCGTAAATAGTTGTACACATCTTCTTACTAGTAAGAATCAACGACTTACCTACTTTGGTCTTGAAGCGGTTGTCAAGG